TCCGTTTAAAACAAAATTTTTTAAGGAAAATACACATAAATATTATGCTACTGTCACGGCTGACGGCCCAACCCAAATCGTTAATAGTTTATAGGTTAACCAATGTAACGGACTCTATTAATGAATGTACTCCGATTTCAAAAGTTTCATGTCCAAAAAAATTTCTAACAAAATTTCGCTATAGAACCTTAATATGCTCAAGAACCATCTAATTATTTGGTGTTCCCTTTCACAACACTAATTTTTTCTCTCCCTTTGTACCTATGCTATTTTTCTTCTTTTTCAATTCTACCCTTTCATTTACACTAAGGGACCACTTAAAAAATAGTAGTCCAGACCACAATAAATTCTCTCCTCCTTATGTATATATACATTAAAATAAAATAAAAAATGCCTGAAAAATCAATAACAACATCATCTAGCCAAGACCAGGTCTCACATTGATCAAATAATTCAGACTCATCCACTAGTGTTTCAGTAGACAAAATGACAGAGACACTGAAGGAAATATGTTTACTTTTATACACATATAAAAGTGTACATCCGGGATACATACAAGGAGAAAAGAGATAAAGAGAAATCTATAAATTTTTAGGGATTAATGTTTATCATATTGTATGAGATAATTTTATCTCTTACATATACATAAACATGTGTAGGACCCATGTAGAGCTATAAAAGAGAAGAGAGAGAAAAGAAATAGGGGCAGGATATTCTTACACTGGTGTAAGAGTTAGAAGTCTTACACTCAATCTTGACCATTGATCCACTTGTATCCAATGGTTAACATTACTAAAAAATTTGAGCCGTTAGATATAAATGGAATCAACGGACAAGATTGAGAGTGTAACTTACACTGGTGTAAAATGATCCTGACCTAAAGAAATATATTGGCCCCACATATTTTTATATATGTACAGGAGAGAAATTATTTTCTACATTATAAAAAATATATAAAAAATAAATTTATCTTCTATTTCAAAAGTTACCATGTATAGTAACCCTTCAATAACGGAGCTCCACCAAGAAGTCTAAGCCTGGAAGAGGTATTTGCTTGGATATGAACCTGACTACCTAAATATATAGAAATAATATAAGTCATCCCTTTGTGAGCAAACAACGAGAAGTATAATAAGTAGTGTTATAGAATATTTTCATATCCTAACCACCTACACAAGAACCCCTTAAAGGATAATTCTTCAATTATCCTAGCAATATAAAACAGTAAGGCAACTAAGTATAGAGTCTCTATCCCAACAGAAAGGAAGTTAAATCCTACTACAACTGGGAGATCTACACAAGCCCAAGAGGTAACCCTTATAAATAAGAGGTTAAAGACCCCAGGTATATACTTTGAACCTATTTACTATTACTGCCAACACTGTGCACACACCCACGTCTTGGCTATAAGCCTATTGCTTGTGTGCAGTGATTGAGACATCGGCTATAAGCCTAGTATACATCTAATTATACAGTATCTCTGAGCGTATACCATACGGTATAGCAATACAGTCTTTCCAAGACCGAACGAGTAAGACTTGACAATGTATTATTTAAACGTTATTTGAATATACAGTGATGTTTAAAGATTATCAATTTTGTGATTGAACTCTTTTCAGACATGGAAAATCATAACTAATACAGTAACATGAACCAAAAAAATATGTGATTTTTACATCTTAAGTGGAGGTATAATAAGACCGAAACAGCTTTCCAAAATAATAATAGGGTGCATATTTTCTTATGTTGTAGGATAGTAGGAGAGAAAAAAAGTAGAGATAAGTTAAATGTGGGTCCTACATTTTAAATTAAAAAAGAAAAGAAAAATTAATTGGCACGGAAAACGAATTTGTGTAGGAAAAAATTCTTATCTCATGTAGATGGAGATAATGATTTCCCGTAATAATAATAGTAAGACCGAAACATACAACAAGCTTTTCACTTGAGATAAATGAAACATAATACACCAAAACTACTACATGCTGTTGTTAATTGCAATGCTCAAACAAAAATCCCCCCCTAAAACAGTTTATAAACATAATCTATGATATATATGGAAAAATAATTCTACAGCCACTTTAGATAAGGTTATCTACAGCTACACCAAAAATTACGTCGCTTTGATTAATGAAGGGTGTTTCTGTAATTTTAGGTGAATTAATGAAGGGTGTTTCAGTAAAATGTATATGATAAAAAAATAAACAAAATTATGAAAACACCCTTCATTAATTCACCTAAAATTATATAAACACCCTTCATTAATCAAAATGACGTAATTTTTAGATAGCTATAGATAACCTTATCTAAAATGAATGTAGAAATGTTCACCCCTATACATATGGTAAAATCATTTCTGCAGCCGCTTTACGTACAACAATGACAGGTGTATGGTTATGATTCCCCACATTTAATACTTTCATCCTTTGTATGATTATGATTTCCCGCATTTAATGCTTTCAAGTATATATATGGCAAGTATCTGATTGCTGCACGTACAGCAGCTGCAGAAATGTAAACCCATATATATAAGAAAATCATTTTCTCATGTTGGAGATTGCTTTCTTATGTTGTGAGGCATCGAAATTCATGCTATATATATATTTTTTTAACAAGTGGTGGAACCTACTACTTGCTGTGTCTATAGCATGAGAGATGTTATCTCATGTGAAATGTGAAAAGAGAAACATATATATATATATATATATATATATATATATATATATATATATATATATATATATATATATATGGTTTTATAAGAGTTATGTTGTAGGAAAAGTGATTGTGTTATGTTATAGAGATTCATTTTGCGTGCCGAAGTTTTTTTTTGCTGCGGGCCCCACAAAATGTTGTGTGTGTAGGAAACTTTTTGTGGTCATGCTAAATGATAGATGATAAACCCATATATATATATATGTGTAGGTAGGATCATTTGACACCTCATCTGAGAGTCGTTAGATCAAAAAAGATCAACGACTCTGATTTATAAGCATGTGACAACCATTGATCTTTTTTGATCTAACGACTCTCAGATGAGGTAATATATATTTTTTAAATTTGACACCGGTGTCAAAGGATCCTACCCTATATATATATATATGATTTACTTATCTCATGTTCATGCAACAGAGACAAGATAGTGAGATCCACTATTTAAAAAAATAAAATAAAGGACCCCACTATCTTGTCTCTGTTACATGAGATAATTATCTCATGTAATATGAGATAATTATTTCCCTATATATATATGTGTGTGTAGGATATTGTAACAACCAATTAGTGTTACTATCAATATTACTACCAATCAATTTTACCGTTAGATCGATTATATGGATCTAACGATTATATTTATTTTCATCTTTGTATGATTATGATTTTCCATATTTAATGTGAAAGCATTAAACATAGGAAATCATAACCATACATAGGTGTAAATAAATATAAAGTATTAAATATGAGAAATCATAACCACACAAAGATGGAAATAAATATAACCGTTGGATCAACATAATTGATCTAACAGTGAAATTAATTGGTAGTAACACTAATTGGTTGTTACAATATCCTTCCCCTTATAAATATGTCTTATTTGGGGACGGTTATACTTACCACCAGGTAAGTTTACCACCTTTACAACCAATCTTATCACCGTTAGATTAAAATTAAATCTAATGGCCCATAATTATGCCTTATAATTTTAATTTTTCTCTCTCACATTCCCTCTTTGTCTTTAGCTCTCTAGGTTTTCATACCCTCTCTCTTCAACTGTTGTGCACTTTCGACATCTTCTAATGAATACAATTCCAGAAAGTAATCAATACAGGTGCCCCTTGCTTGACATGTGCAGCGCCACCAGAGCATATCCATGATTCACAAAGCTGCATATGGTTCGCATTAATTCGCCAAACATAACCCCTACTGGCAGGGCACCTGAAGGGTACTTTATAGACTTGTGTTGATTTGATGGAATGTGTGATTAGAAAACCAATTTCATAGGAGAATCTCATCACCTAAAAGGTATTTTATAGACTAAGTCCAACCAATTTTATAATCTTGATCCAATAATCTTTTATCATATTGCAAGAGAGAGTACAAAAGGTCCACACTCAACATACTATAACTCTTTACAATCCAAGAGAGTACAGAAGGACTTGATCAAATGGACCATAACTCTTTGCGATCCAATAATCTTGATCGAATTGCAAAGAGTTAAAAACATCTCTATATCCAATACACTACAACTATTTGCGATCCAATCATGTTTATCATATTGCAAGACATCAAACCAATTTCATTAGAAGATGCCGTAAGCACATAACATTTGAAGAGAGAACGAAAAAGGTGATTCTCAAACCTAGATAGAGATAGAAAGGATATAGAAACCTAGAGAAAAAAAGATACAAATGAAATGTGAGAGAAAAAATTAAAATTATAAAAAATACAACTGTCCCGTCTTATTAATAATTCGAGAAGAAGTACATTTTCCAAACTTTTATGGCATAACTATTCTGAAAAAAATTAACGGTAATTTTTTTAGAATTAAAAAAGAATAAATTTATTATAATGCGCATACGTGGAGATCACAGAAGGCGGGTGTGCGTGGCTGTGTTAAGTTGTTTGCGTGGCGGAGACATTTCGTACCATTGCTAAAAAGGATCAGCCACGTGGCAAACGCAGCTGATGAATATTGGCATGAGCTGGGGCCTTAAGATTCAACTCCATTGGTGAGGCATTAATGCGCTTACACGTGTTCGATTCTGTATCCTTTGCACAGTAAGTAACAGTTCGTATAATTAATTAATAAATTCATTTTCGTCTAAATGTCTATTTTATCTTTTTTTCTCTAGATTGATGTATCTGTGCTGCATTTCAATTCTGAAGGTTAGGTCTATTATTTTCATTTATTTATTCATTGGTGTTTTGATTCTGTCTAATTTTTTATTTTGCGGGTGTAACATGAATTTGTTCTTTATTTTCTGATTAATTCAGCCCCTAAATTTGTCTTCCTAGCATGCAGTGAATATGGTCTTGAAACTTTGAGACTGATTTTGAATCTGAAGTATATTAGCAAATCTTTTTTTTTTTTTTTCTTCTTGTTTTATACTGTAAAACAATCATGAAGTGAAAGTGTAGTTGAGATTATGTGATTTATCAATCTAGTATTGTCAGTCTCTATGAAACCAATTTATATAGAAATATAATGTCTGGAGATTTGTGTACCACAACCGTCTTGTCGGTTATGTTGATACATGATCTATGACGGTTGAATCACTTTCTTGATATATAATATGGTCATATAATCTTTATATTATTTTAAATTGTGTATTCTTTCATCCTACTTTAAGGTCTCCAATGGAGAATACATCAAATACCTTGATGCAAAGATATGAATTAGGAAGATTACTAGGCAAAGGCACGTTTGCAAAGGTTTACTATGGACGGAGTGCAATAACTAACCAGAGTGTGGCTATTAAAGTGATTGACAAGGATAAGGTTTTCAGAACTGGGCTAGCTGATCATATCATAAGGGAAATATCTGTTATGCGACTGGTGAAACATCCAAATATTATACAGATTTTTGAGGTCATGGCCACCAAGAAAAATATTTACTATGTTATGGAATATGCTAAAGGTGGCGAGCTTTTTAAAAAGGTGGCCAAAGGAAAACTCAAAGAAGATGTTGCACACAAGTATTTTAAGCAGCTAGTTAATGCAGTGGATTTTTGTCACAGTAGAGGGGTTTACCATAGAGATATAAAGCCAGAGAACCTTCTATTGGATGAAAATGAGAACCTAAAGGTCACAGATTTTGGGTTAAGTGCTCTGGCTGAGTCCAAACGGCAGGATGGTTTGCTTCATACAACTTGTGGAACACCAGCCTATGTTGCTCCTGAAGTCTTCAAAAGGAAGGGTTATGATGGTGCCAAAGCTGATGTTTGGTCTTGTGGTGTAGTTTTGTTTGTCTTACTTGCAGGTTACCTTCCTTTTCGTGACTCAAATTTGATGGAGATGTATAGGAAGATAAACAAAGCAGAGTTTGCATGTCCTAATTGGTTCCCAAGAGAAGTCAGGAAGCTATTGTGCAAGATTTTGGATCCTAATCCTAACACTAGGATTTCCTTACCTAGGATTCAGCAGTGTTCTTGGTTTAAGAAAGGGCCAAATGGTAAACAGAAAAAGCATGAAGTGGAAAACAAGACAATCTCTCCTGTAGTTACAAATCATTGTGAGCAAAGTGATGGTGTTGCAGCTGAAGCAAGACAAGAATCAGTTACACCAGTAAGTATAAATGCCTTTGATATCATCTCCCTTTCCTCTGGCTTTAATCTTTGTGGATTATTTGAAGACAGTTTTCAGAAAAGGGAAGCAAGATTTACTTCAAGAAAATCTGCAACAGTCATTATATCCAGACTGGAGGAAATTGCAAAGAGATTGAAGCTGAAAATAAAGAAAAAAGCTTCAGGTTTGTTGAAACTAGAGGGCCTTGATGAAGGTAGGAAGGGGATTTTATCCATTGATGCAGAGATCTTTGAGGTTAATCCATTTCTCCATTTGGTAGAGGTGAAAAAATCAAATGGAGATACATTGGAATATCAGAAAATATTAAAAGAGGATATAAGGCCAGCTCTTCAAGATATTGTTTGGGTTTGGCAAGGTGACCAACAAGAACAATTACAACAATCGGAGCAGATACATGACCTGCAGCAACAACATTCGCAATCATAACAGATTCTCAGTTTTTTTTTTTTTGTTTTTTTTTTGTAATACTTCATGCATATTGTTTATATGTGCATCTCAGGGTATGCCCAATTTTCTAAAATAATGTTGCTTCTGCATATCTTTCTTGTGTTTCATGAGACCATGACCTTATTGTAACATATGTAGTGTCCCAAATTCTGTTTGTAGATGTTAATTTGAAAGTTTATGTATACTCATTGTGGCTTCTCATGTATTAAAGCCATGAAGACTCATTAGTGAGAGAGTCATGTCATGGCCTCAAAAAACAATAAATGGTTTTGTTTTTTAATAAATTTTCTCTGGCGTACAGCTCCTCCTCTCATTCTGCTTTGAAAGACCTTGTTCCCTCTAATATGTACGCTACATCTGATAGTAGGTCGCTTATCTTTATTTTCGAGAACAAAAGTCATAATTGCATTTGCATTTGCAAGACATAACCCAGTTAGTGTATTGCTCTTTGCACTCCTCAAAAGAAAGTTGTTACATATCTTTAATTTTTTTTAAAAAATGAAAAAATTGATTTTTTTTACTATATCATTTTATTTTTTAACAAAAATATTAAAAGACAGCAATAAAATATTATTTTTAATTTTTTTAAAGTAACAACAAATAAGATGATTATTTTTTTTTTCTGATTCGAGGACAGACTAGTATTATAAGAAGTTGCTTGGTCAGTTTGTTTTTCAGTTCTAGAGACTCGGTACTCTCATGGTCCCCCCAGTCCCTACACCAAGTCACTCAGACTTCTCATCAAACCTCAAAAAAGTAAAAAAGGAACAGTATGTCAAAAGCTAAAGCAGAAAAACAGGATGATACAAAGACCTGCTTCTGATACTGACAAAGGTAATTATTTCATTTGTCAAACATAATTGAACCAAGCAAACCCCAATATGTTGATTTTTGACTTTGAAGACATAACTCATCACTCCTTTGCCTGAATAGAATAGAGATTTTCACAAATAACTCAACCGGACTTCTGTAACGTGGATTAATTTTCAGACATGAAGTTATTATTTACAATATGGATTATATTCTTCCGAAGTTATTATTTACAATATGGATTATATCCCCACAGCAAAAAACTCAGCAATTCCAAGCATACACTATATTGGTAAAAAGTCTAGATCCTTGTAGCATTACAAAAATTTTGCAAAAATTTTTGTAGAAGAATTTCCAGAACTGAGGATTATACTTCTTTTTTAGGAAGAATTTTACAAGCTATGAAGATCTCTTTCCTTGGACCGGGTGAAATTGGTGGTAGTTTGGTCATCCTCTTCTTTTCTATTTAGACCTGTTCAGTTTTAGTCTAAGGACTTTTCTTCCCCAAACAATCAAAAATCATTTGAAATTATTTCTTCCTTAAATATGTCCTACCATCATTAACCAAAATACCTTTTCAGATGGTGGTTATACAGCCACAAACATAGTTCTCCATCATAATCATTATCCTAAATTATCAGTGAACCAGACATTCATTCATATCCTAAAATCCCAATCATATAATGTCAAACTTCTATTCTGTCAGCTGTTCCCCTAGAATATACGTTTGGCTATAAAATTAATAAAAAAAAAAAAAAAACTATTTAAAACCTTACAACCTGCATCCGCACAATAAAGCAGTTTTTCCATGAAGAAAACCCATATTGCATTTACAACTTTACATGAAAACAATAAGCAACTGAGTCTGAGAGCAGAAACGTTAGAAGGAAAACTATATATCACATTTTAAGAGTGTATTTAGGATTATTACCGTTATTAAACCAACAATAGCAACAATATTAATAGCAGTTAGGATTGAATATCCAAATTACTATCAGAGGCAACAATCATGCAGAAATCTCATGATGATCCAATTAGGTTGACCGCTTTGAAGAGGAGGGAAACAACTGCCTCCAAAGATAACGACCGCTAGCCAAGTCAACGAAAGTCCAGAACCCACATTCTAATGCAGCCCGCACCTGATAAATCACCAATCCGGGATGTAAAAAGATAACATTTTTTTCAGAAAAAATCTGAACTAGAAATTGAAATTGTGGAAAAGTTAGAAACCTTGGCAGTTGCATTTAAGGAAGGATTAGCAGAATCCGAGGTATGTGTGTCTTTATCATTTTCGTCCAACTCAGTGGAATGAGGTTGAGATCTGAGGTTTCTGAAGACCAAGAAACCGGCTAGAATAGCGGACAAGAATATTAGAATGACCCTCAGAGGACACATTTTCTATCTCTCTTTCTGTGATTCAGAAACGTGTTGACATGTCAGAGGAATCAGTTTATAACTATGACTACGTAATTGAATTTAAAGTGTTGCAGTTTTTAAAGACTATGTTGAAGTGGGAGTGGATCTGCACTATGGAAAAAAGCATGTGGTTGGTGGCTCAGTGTACATCAAGTTTTGGCATATTCTTTTCTTTTAGATAAGTTGATGACTTGATAATACTTCAGCTATAATAAATTGGGATAGGTCTACTTATCTTTCTTTTCTTTTTTTATCTATCTTTATTTATCATTCTCTAATATTAGAATCTCTATTTTTATTAGAGAGTGATGGACAGAAAAATAAATAAATAAAATAATCTATCCCAAATAAACTTTATACGGTGGAAAAACAGTATGGCTTGAAGATAAGTTTCATTTCACTTAATAATTTCATGACTAATATATCATATAATCTATGGATTGGGATTTATTGAACAGCTGATTTTCTTGTAATTATATTTGCTCGTAAAATGAAAAAATTTGAGCGAAGAATTGCAAAAAAGATTTCTTACATTCTTAAAAAATGGATCTCATATATACGGACGAGTAAAATGTGAAAATTATTCAAAAAGAAAATATGTCAATATAACTATTTTTTAATTAAAAAAAAGTAAGAGAAAAAGAAAAACAAGTAAGACTGATTTAAATTAAGTGCACATAATAAATGTACAATTTTAAAGTTAAAGATAACTATTTTTTTTTTTGGTAATTAACTATTTTTTGAAATCTATGCATATATGCTTCCGATATGAATCAACTTCCAGACTTCCACTATCCCAACTCATACTCCACATCATAATGATAATGGGGGCGGCTAAAGTGGTGTGAGATGATTAATTTTAGGTGCATAACTGCATTTCACCAATGAAAATATTATATATCATAGAAAAGAGAAAAAATTTGACAGGTAAAAGAAAATTTTGATTGACATATAATGTTCCAATGGGGATATTATATACCAAAAGAGAGAGAAAGAATTTGACAGATAAAAGAAAATTTTGACTGACATATAATATTTCAATGAGAATATTATATATCAGAGGAGAGAGAAAGAATTTGACAGATAAAAAAAAAATTGACTGATATATAATGTTTCAATTGATAAAATACACTGAATCTTTGGTGCAATAGTAACTTCTAAGATTTATTCATGTGCATATTACTCTGTGGTGTGTACTCAGTAACACTTTATCCATCATGTTTTCAGAAAAAACTGGGCAGTGGTGATATTCATACGTGCACGGTGTACCCATTCCTCTTCTGACCAACTAATAAATGTCGAGCTATTAGCAAAAGGAAAAGTGATGAACAAAATTAAATAAAAAAATATAAAAAATTAAAAATCCTTTGGAAGGTTAAACAAGAAAGCCTAATTTCTTATTTCCAATTAATTAAACTTCTCCTGCTTACTTGATTTTTGTTAAACTCAGATGTAATTAATTCTGTCTTTGTATGACGGGGGTGACTAATACATCAATTTTACATTTTTACCACTTTCCACTTAGCAAGTTATCATCCCATACGCTCGGCTAATTTCCACTTTTGAATCTAGTGATGATTATAATTTTACGTTTGGCCTACTACAATACACCACACCACCTAATATAGGATCAAGAATGACTCTTCTACTCTTCTTTTATAACAAATATTTACTAATCTATCTTATTTTCAAAATTATTTATTAATTTAATTTACTTTGACAAAAGTTAACAGTTTTTGACCAGGGTCATTTACACAAATATAACATGTGTGGGACCAACATGATCAAAGTGATTAACTTTGATTTAAGCAAGATATGTTAATAAATAATTTTTAAAATAAGAGTAGATAGGGGGAATTAACCCCTAATATATGATTTCAACATTCCACGTTGATAATCTCCAATCAGATCATTGAATATTGCTAGATCTAAAGTGACTTACGAGTTAAAAGATGGAGAGAGAAAGAAAGAGATATTATAGCTTAGCCCAAATACCAAAAGCCCAAAAAATAACAATAATATGTTAAGAGGCCTTAGTTTCTATATGAATATTACTAGCCCAAGCTCGACAGTCCAACAGTTTCAAGTCCAACCCACTTATTGAACTGAAAAGCTAAAATGAAAAGGCTCGGCCGAAACATTGTAAACATAGTTTTAGAAAATTGTTTTGAAATGGGGATGAGACTGAGTTTGGGCTCGTCGTTTCTCTTATTAGTATGGACTTGTTTTCAACCCATGTTTAAATACCCATGTCATCTACTTATAATGCAGACAGAACCATATCAGGGGGAGACCTCCACGGATTCGTCCAATGCATCTAATATCAGTCTAAGGAGATGATGATAAAGAACGGAAATTATATGTGTTCTTAACAAACAAGCCAAAACTGTTCAGCTTTCATATCAGTAGAGATGTTAGTGAAATATAAAATTACTAATATGTGGTTTTCATCTAAAAAATTACTAATATGCTTGTGTATTATACACCTTTTTTTTTCTTTTCTTTTTGGATAAAAAACAGGTATTTTTTACGGGAGACAATCATGTTCGAGTCAGTAACATCCACATTGTGGTGGAGCTAGCTCTCTTAAAAGAAATTTTTTACATTCACAAAAACTTAATTCCAAGACCTTTCTTAACCGGAATCAAACATGTACCACTCAAACCAACCCCTTTTAATTATACATCTTTCAAGTTCAATAGGTTCCTATGCAAGATAGCTGTTAGAAATATAAAATTGTTTTACCTAATAACTGAAATTCTGGGTTGAATGGATCTTTACGTAGAAGTTCTCAAAAGAGAAAAGCCAATAACTCAATCGCTCAAATTATTCATATATCAATACAATCCAATGAAAGTATGCAAATTTTAGTTACGAAATATTGTGAAAAATAAATCTTGATTCATATTGATTTCATCATTTATCATCATCGTCGCTATTATTATAAATTATTACTATTTGTTGCATGATTGTCTGTTATGGGCCCAAAAGAAGAGAGTGTTTTTATTCATTATTATCGCTAGTCCTTTTTTTCTGCAATCTCTTTTTTACTATTTTAGCATGATTAAGAGACTACTTTATAATTCTCTTATATGGCATGGCCCATAAAGGTAAAGATACAATGTATGTCTATATAGAAAAGAGCTCCCAGTACAGGTAAGCCACGCTAAATAGTTTTCGCTCATTGGATTTTCTTTTTATTTATCGGTTAGATCCCTGTCTCCAATTCCTACACTTCTTCCTTTCCCTTGAATTAAAAGTTACCAAATAACACATCATTCTTCTCATACTTCACGACGTTTATGTTATCTTGTTCACACTATTGCAAAATATTCGGTTTCTCTCTTCTTTGCACTTGCAAAATATTGGTTTTACAATTCTTACGTTAACTTTTCTGATATATAGAGCAACATCGGGAAAAAAATTACATCCAATAAACTCCCTTTACAATTTTTTTTGTCTAAAGTATAGCGTTGTGTTAATTATTATTAAATTCCAAATGCAAATTCAATGATGTGGGATGTTGGAGACGAAGGATGTGATAATTGGGAAGTGATTCTTGTTCATATACAAGATATGAGTTCCTTTTCTGTTCGTATTTTCTCATTCTTTTTCATATGTGAAATCATGACCTGGCCAGTTGCAAAAAAAAAAAAAATAAGATAAAAGAAATTTCAGCTAACTAGAAGGCATGAGTAATGCAGTGAGATTTACAACATAAATGATAGAGCTTTTAACGTTGGATTTTATATTGAAAAACAGGTAATGAAACAGAAATTGGGAAAGGAAATTTCAACTCTGATTTATGATGTAGTGATATCAATATTTCAGATGATAATTTTAAAACTAAAAAAATGAGATTTTTGTGAGTATAAAAAGAATTTATTTTATGAGAACAACTGGCATAATATCCAAATTCTTTGAATCCTGCATACTTTCCTACTAATCCTACACTAACGACAACAATATGACATGAAATTGGGCTTTAAAATCTCCAGCAAGCTGATAAATATTTGGTATCAGTTGCTGTTACTTGTTATAAGTAGGAGGGAAATGGATTTTGAAAGGCTGGATTCCAAATTTCCAACACCAACCATGTTTTTCTGTCATTTATTAGGGAAATGTGTCCGAAATGATCAGCTAGGAAAGCTAAACAATTGATTACAATTCTGTCATTTTGCTGGAAACTCTTCACAGGATGGTTCAGCTGAGCATCTTGGGCTGGTTTTTGCTGAGATTCTATGGTACCTTTCTAATATGCTTTCCTAGGAATTTGGATAGGTGCTCCCAGCTCTTACTGTGGTGGCAAACTTTTTAAGGTATCCTTTTTTTGTTGTATACCTAATTAAGTGTTCTGAACAAGTTAAAAAATGACTTTTAATAAAAGAGTCAAAAATCTATGGTTAAATTCCATCATGCTCTCGTGAACACCTTGGCTTTCTCATCTGCGAGATTGATGGTTGGTTTGGCAAGTGGCATTCAATCACACACATACCGTGAGGTTTTTTTTTATCAAGTAACGGTTTTTGTACGGCCAACTTCAACTGTACGAATAGCATCAGTTAACCAACCTCAAGAAAATTATGGGAATATCATTTTTAAAAGTCTATTACAAGTCCTCCCTTAGTTTTGGTTCCTAATGCAAAGCGTGTTCATTTGCCTGTTATAGACACTAAATCCCCAACACTCGAATATGACAGAATTTGATAGTGGAGATGATAAATCTTCCTTTTTTGATAATTCATGATTAAGTATGTTCTCCTGTCTGATAAAATAAAATGATCCCCAAATGAACAGTCAGTTGTGAGCAATCTCAAATTTTCAATGCTTAAAAGTTAAAAGTGTAAGCACAATTTGTACCAACAGAGAAAATTGTAAGTACAATTCAATGGCTGTTTGCTATAATAAAAAAAATGTGGACAAACAAAAGTAATATATGGGTGTCATTAATCTGCTACTTTTCCCCTATTCATGGTTTAATTTCTTACAGGTTATATACAAATGTTAACATTCCTACTTTAATTTCCTACATCTACATAATGAATATTCTTCAAATATTTTATTATTCATATTACTACTCTCACCCAAATCAGAACAATACTGGGTAGTACAGATAGACATAGAAGCATCAACCAGGTATTGGAATCACTAAACTCACAACCATCATCACAATTCACACTTGACTTGAGATCCAAATCCATGAGTGCTAAACTACACCATGGCCTACCAAAATTACATTTTGGCTGTAACACCATTTCAAACTTGCAAAACTATTTTAATATTTTATTTCAAATTTTTTGAATAAAATAAAAAGAGGGGGGGCTGAAACATCAGTTACCGGAAACCGGCTAAGACTCGGTTTCGTGCTGATGCGACGCCGTGCCACTGCCGGCAGCACAAAGGTGAGGCTTCAGCTTGTTCTTCCACACATCCTTGAAAACAACCGCATCCCCGACCCTCCTCTTCGCCTCCACCACCACCAGCTCCGGCGTTAACCGGTAAACCTCCACAGAAATTCCGAAATTACCATCAGGCCCCTGCAGCTCAACCCCACACTCCTTCTTCCTCCTCACGGCGAGACTCTCCGCCTTCGCAAACTCCTCCACCTTCTCAACAATCTTCTCCGGTGACTCGCGCGCCAATAACCGCTCGCTGTCCTCCGTCGCAACGCTGCTCGACGCGTCAAACAACCTCGAAAGGTTCAAACCCGAAGAAAAAGATATAATATCAAACGCGTTCAAATTCGTCATCTTCTCATCACCATCAAGCTTCGACCCAAAATCCTCTTCGTGAAACTTCACTTCCTTGAACCCCTTCCGGAACCACGGGTCCCTGAGAATCTCATCGACAGTGATCCTCGTCTCCGGCGTCGTGTCCAGCAACCGCGACAAAAACCGCCGCAGCTCCGGCGACATCCACCGTGGGCACCGAAATTCCCCTTTGTAAATCTTTTTATACATTACCATCAAGTTAGGGTCATTGAATGGAAGATACCCAGCAACAAGAACAAAGAGGATAACGCCACACGACCAAACGTCCACCTTGGCGCCGTCGTAGCCCTTCTTGGCCAGAATCTCCGGCGCCACGTAAGCCGGCGTGCCGCAAAGCGTGTGAAGCAACCCATCGACTCGGACCTGACCCTTAACAGCGCTGAGTCCGAAATCCGAGACCTTGAGGTTACCGTGCTCGTCCAGCAAGAGATTCTCAGGCTTCAAATCGCGGTGGTAAACGCCGCGGGAGTGGCAGTATCCTACGGCGGAGATAAGCTGGTGAAAGTATCGCCGAGCGAGATCCTCGCTGAAACGACCCTTGGAGATTTTGGCGAACAACTCGCCACCTTTAACGAACTCCATGACGAAGTAGATTTTGGTTTTGGTGGCGAGAACCTCGTGGAGCCTCACGATGTTGGGGTGGTGGAGACAGCTCATGATTGAGATCTCGCGCTTCACGTTCGATTCGAGTGCCGTTCCGGCGATCTTCTTCTTGTTTATCACCTTCACCGCCACGCTCTGCCCCGTGTGCACGTTCCGTGCATAGTACACCTTCGCGAAGGCCCCGCAACCAAGTAGCCTCCCGACCTCGTATTTTCCGAACAGGGCGGTGTTCTCCGCCGCTGGTTCGATCTCCGGCATCATCGCTGTAACACCATAGACCGAACCCTCGCAAGAGGGCTCGATCAGATTACCTAATTCCCTTTTGCGCTGTGCCGCGCTATTTAATTCGATTGATTCGTTCAGTTTTGGAAACAATCAACTTTGTCCCACTTACAGAATCTGCGAAATTTCTCGGCAAATTAATAATGTCTCTTTTTTTCTTTTTTATTGAGGAGTTGGTGGAAATGGAATATTGGAAGGGAACGACGTTTAAATTTTCAGGAGAGAACAATGTTATATGAATGGATGGTGTTGGTGTTGGTGTTGGCTATTTATTTGTTATTATTTTAATAGGAAAGAGGCTTCACGAAAGGGAAACAAAATAAAATAAAAGCTGACTCGTGATTCTTTACCTTACGCGTCTGCTATAGTGGTACGAATAATGCTAGTTGTTGAAACCGTGATTCTTTTTTTTTTAATAGATATATTTATTTGTTTTAAAGAAAAAAATTTATCCGTTTACGTGGCGTTTTATCAATGGTAGAAAAAGTTGACTCCTGCAATAGAATATCGACACGTCGGTGCCGACTTCAGCTGCCAGATGTGTGTATATATTAAGTGGAAAATTATGATGGCGTTTTGCTTTTTCACTTCTCCTCGTTGAGATATACGCGTCTCTTGAGGTTACTTGTAAGTCGTAAGAGACAGAAAAAGCATATAATTACATAACTGACATTAAAAAACATGAATTATTGATGATGTGTGGAGGAAAATAATAAAGGATATTATTCCATAACCTGTATAAATGTAACTTACACAAGTTATCAAAGAAAAATATTATTCCAAACTAACATATCCTTAACAAAGGAGGGAGAGGGGGTGGTGGAACAAGAACAACCACTAATTTGACACGATTTTGGAAAATAAAATATCAATATGTCGTGGCCCAAAATATTTTCTGAAATACCCACGGTTGAATTTTGTTATTCGCCCTAACGCATTTTGCCACGTAACAGAACACGTTAAATTTGCTAACGGGCCCAACAAGACTAAGGGCTTTCTCATTCTCGCACGTGAGTTAGCCAGCTTGCCGCCGGACAGCAGAAATTATGTCCTTCTACCACGTGATAAAACGTACCACACCTGGCGCAATAACAAGATTTCAGACATCATAGATTAGGACATAATTTTCCAGATTACAGGTAAAGATACTTAATTGTCGTTGTCGACATATACCTATTATATAGGCCAAAGACAGTTACAGTATAGCTGAGAATCTATTGCAATTACCAGTCAAAATGGAATCGATGTATTGTGATGTTAAAATAACGACATTGAGATAAGACCGTCAATCATTTTTCATTTTGTGGTGCAAAAGATTTTATCTACTAGACAGTAGATCCTGCAATATACAGTTCATTTTTTTATTTTAATGAAAAATTAAGGTGGAAAAAATAATTATCATTTTAAAACACATAATTTTATTTCATTTTAAATAAAATTCTTTTGCAAACTTCATAATACTGTATTTTCTCTCTCCTCCTAACTTTGTAGAGGAGAGTGAAATTTAAAAAACTCTTTGCAAAATATGAAATTATTGAGAAATTAAATTTTAAAAACATATAAAAAATAGTAAAAATCAGTAATTTTAAATTTTTACAAATGTAACAATAAAAAATATTTTTTTATAATTAAATCACGTGCTGAATTAAAAAACATTAAAATAATTTTCATCATATAAAAATAAAATTATGTTCAAACTTCAAAGTTTTCAGTACCTAAATTATTAATGAGAAAATATACTTTCATTGAAGAGTATTTTTTTTTTATATACATTAATTTTTGTTTTTTTTTATAAGTGAGTGGATTGCACATATAGTTATATTTATAGTATGAGATTGCTTCTCTTTTATTTTATGAGATTAATAAAGCTCAATAAAATAGAGATAAATAAGAGTTATATTGTATGAAGAAGAATGCTCTCATGCTAAGATACCGACAACAAAAATCATTCAACAAAGTGTTTTATACCTTCTGTTTTTGTTCGTTATTGATAGGAATTTTTTTTCCAACATCAGTAATAAAGAGCCTTATTAATATTCAATAATACTTACGAAACTTAAAGAAATTATTATAATAATTATGGAATCACATTGTAACTGAAATAAACATATTCTAAGCATCGATTATTCAGATTAATTGATTGAATAAGGATTCACTGTACTAGATAATCATTGGTAACGATTAGATACTTTATATATGTGGTACAGCTTTAACTGAGTAAAAACGTTTTCAGCTGAAAAATCAATCTATGTAAGAAAAGCGGAATAAAATTATTATATCTCACATAAAGGTTTGCAGTTTAATAGGGTCAAAAGCTACCCACTAAATGCATGTCTGCTAATCCTATGTCAATATTGTATATCTTTAATGAGTATTGTAAATCCTATTATATTGGCTAACCATGATGCATATCTTATTATTCAATTAATTAAAGAGATCAGGAGTAAATTATCTCATATATACACGTAAGAGTATGTGAGACTTATATTTTTTTTTTCTGTACATAGCTTCACATGAATCCCATGTGTGTAGAAGATAATTATTTTTTTTTAGTATATAACCAGGAGATATCTCCATTCAATTTTTTCTGATTACTTTATCTTCGGAGTACGGTCCTAAAACTAGCTCCTCATTAAAATAGATAGTGCATTGGACCATTGTTAGCAGAGGAAGAGTTAGACTAATCTCCCTTTGAGGTTGAGGCGATTTCCCTCTAGCCTCCAAAAAAAATTCTAAGAATTTGCTTTAGCTAATATTTGAACTATTGACCAAAGTAATCCAATGGTCACTCACTTTTCAACCCTTGGGGGTTTAATTTTTTTATTTTAGTGGGTGTGTAGGAGGTAATTTTATTTCATCAAACATTAATTTCTTAATTAAAATGTAAAGTACCGATTTTTACTAAAGTTAAAATTTAGGCTTTTTGACCCAGTAGTGTTATTTTTATAAGGTTTGATCGGAATAATTTCTTGGTCAAACTTATTATCTATATAATGTATAACAACGCGGTACTATGAAGACCGCTTAAGACGTAAAACTTAAAGAGTCGCGTCCTTTGTGAATAAATCTTTGGTGCTACTGTTGCACCAAGATTCAGTGCATTCCACCAATAAGAGTATTACACATCATAGGAGAGAGAAAAAATTTGATAGAGAAAATAAAACTTTAGCTGACATGTAATATTTCTAGTGGTGGGATGTACTGAATTTTTGGTGCAACAGTAGCACTAAAGATTTATCCGTCCTTTGTAATATTTTCGATGTGCTAAAAGAGAAATAGCTGCATCATCCTTCCCTCCTGATTCCTATCTTCATCTTTTCTAGTATGTTTCTCTCTTCTCTTCGTCTGTTCAAATCATTCTTCCTCACTCTCCCTCTTGTCCCCTTTCTCGTTGAGAACATAATTTCATTAGAGATCATTAGAGCGAAATTTAGAACATTGTGTCAACACCAACATTTGAGTTTCAACCCCCACATTAACAAATATAGATGATGAGAGTCCTTTAAATTAGGGGATTGAAATAAATATTATTAAAAAATCATTGTAAACTATTAGATAAAGACAATCACTGGCCTCAAATTTAATTTTGATTTTATAACCATACAAATTATGAGATATTAAAAATACATTAGTTGTCATATTTTTGCAAAACGTAACATTAATTATTTGTTCTTTAAAATTTATATACAAATATTCTTATAATCATTTTTTAGTGAATTTGGCATGACTTATGTTGCAAAAATAATTTGATATTATGAAAAAAGAGTTGGCTTGTGTAATGCATATGTATTTATATATTTATTCATTTGTATCTTTAGTATTAAGATAATAACATGATATTATAGAAAAAAATAAGATGTATTTTTACATAATTTTTAGTATTTCTATGAGATACAATTTTATATTTATTTTGGATAATTATAATTTATTAAATATAAAGCTTTGATATTTATATTATAATCTCTTGTGATTTGATCAATTTTATAAATATCAAATGATAAATATGTAATTATTTTAAAACTAAAAAAATATTTATATCATGTTATTAAATGAAATTCTATTTCTAAAAGTTTAAAAAAAATTGTGTTATCATGCCCAATTTTCCGCCCAAGAACTTTTTCTTGTAATAGAAATAGAAAAGAATCATTTCTCTAAAAAAACCATGTCAAGAGAAGAATAGTTGAAATGCACACCCTTCTATCCTTTTATAATTTGAAAAATCTTAATAATCTGATTTATAATATTAATGACATAAATTCTTTAATTTAAATATGTATGCCTTATACAAATAAAATTGATTTACAAAATTGATTTATAAAATTTATTCATTCTATTGTGTCATTTTGTAAAAAAGTTAATACTTATTGGTGACAATATTTATTATTTTATTTTAATCCAAGTCAAACAAAAGAAGAGGAATGTCAAATAATCTTTTAGTTTTAATATTTTTTAGCTCCGTATCTTTATTTTTTTTAAGTACGCAATTTTACATTTTTCACAAACTTTCATAGAACAGATACGTGTCTAATTAATGTTAGTCACCTTTGGGAGGGGTTTAAAGCCTTAATCCTGGATCCGCCCCGAATTGGATTAGTTCCGAAGCAATGAACCGATTGAAATATTTCCAAAAAAAATGCTAGTCATTATATTTTCAATAGGATCCATACAATTCTACACATATTAAAAGTTGATTTTTATGTCTAAAATGAATGAATAAATATAAATTGATTAACACTCTACTTTGGTACCTAAATGATACTTATTTTTTTGAACTTAGTCTCTTAGAGATAAGTTTAATCAATTTAGCACTTCAAATTTGAAATTCTTAAAGAAATTTTATGCCGCTATTTATTTTAATATGATAATGTTAATTTTAAAAGTTGATTTATAATGTTAATAGACCATTTAAATGTGTGACTCAGCCAATCAAACTAAAATAAACTCTTTAACCAAAATTCATTTTAAAAAATATATACTCTAAAATCAAATACTACATACAGATTACAGACACAAGTTTTAAATGATCTATAAAATTAGCAAAGCAAAGTCATTTTAGTCTGATTAACTAATTAATTCATATATATTATGTCACTTTTAAATATTAGATCAAAATCCTTAAAGCAAATAGAATTAAATTTAAATTATAAAAGGATAAATTTTTTGAAGATTTTAATTTTAATGGATTAAATTAATATATTTTTTTTCAGGAATAAAATATAACTTTATTAAGGATACCAAAA